CCCCCCCTCCCAATCCGCGCTATCATCTAACTACCCCTGCCACTACCACCACCACAGCGCGCGCGTGTGTGTGTGTGTGAGTATGTGTTGCGTGTGTGTGTGTGATTGTGAGTGTGTGTGTGAGTGTGAGTGTGTGTTGCGTGAGTGTGCGCGTGAGCAATATTCACGACAACGTGAGCACGGGTGGAAGGAAGGACGTGGAGAAGAACGAGCGACTCCTCCATCCATCCCTCCCTCCATCCATTCGTCCAACCAACCGGCCGGCGAGATTTGTGGGTAGGGTAGGCATAGAAGAGATTTCTGCCTGTGTTCACTCACAAGGTGCTTACCCGAGCTGTTCGTGCTCACACACACACACGCGCGCACACCTCTCGTGCCTGCTGCCGGGGCAAGCTGAAGGAAACACCGCTGTGTTTTAGTCGTGTGAGGGGGGTGCACACTCACACACACGCACACGCGCACACACACACAACTGGGCTACGAGTTTAATCGACAGGAAAAAATTAAGGACTAAACTAATCACTTGCAGATTTTTTTTAAAACCACCGTCACCAAAACTGCACTCGACCGAAAAAAATACTAAAATTCGAATAAAAATCGCTCTGATAGGTACAAAATTGTGTAAGTTAATCAATTGTGCAATTGTATATTTCTAGTATAAATTCCAGGCTTAATTAGGAAGTCTCGATATTTTATTTCCTTCGAAATAGGAGTGCTAATTATATCCTCGTTTGACTAGACTATTCATTTTGTAAGTTTTCACGTTAGTAACATAAACGCTATACATAAAATCTCTCTGGCCAATGGTACACAATAGGCTTAATGTCATAGACCCGTTCTATATATTGTTTAGCGGGGTGTGCGCGTTTCTCAATCCACGTCTCTGTCGACAGTGACAGGTCCCTCCGGATATATAGCAGCCCCGAACGAGCCAGAGAACTGAGACAATTTCGTTTCGGATATTTCGATCGTCCAACACCATCAGCCAAGATTTTCAGTAATTTTGTGGCTGACCATACGTCACCACGGAGTTCTACCTCTGCACGGATTCCTTTTGATTCTCCTATCAGGTCAGTAGTCTGCATTATAATTATGGCACACAACGTGAACATATTTTATCTTTTTTTCTGTTCTTTTCTGTTCTTTTCTGTTCTTTTTGCTTGTATTATCTTATTTTACTGCCGTCACTTTTCATCTTTTTGGGTATTTTGTTGGTTTTTAAAATATTTTTTTTTTTGGGGGGGGGGGGGGGGGGGGGGGA